TCCACCACGGAGGAACCCTCCAGCACGGCTGCCCAGACCACCACCTCTCTTGAGACGACACCTTCAGCCTCCTCCAAGCAAACACAATTGTCTACTCTGGAGAAAAGCTCCACACTCCTCTCCTCAGGAGCAGAAACTAGCACACCAGCTGTTGAAACAACCACCGCAGTCACTTCCAGCACTGGTGGAACACACATTCCTGCTGTTGCCATCACCAAATCTGCAGAGGTAACAGCCTCTTCCACAACGCTCCTTGCAGAAACAGCCTCCTCAGCTCCTGGGACAAGCCCACCTCCTGCCACCACCTCGGCTCTGAAAATGAGCTCGGGAGTGGAGACCACCTCCTTCACTCTGACCACACCACCACCCACCTCCACTCTCCTGACAGCCTCCACTTCTACCGCTGCAGGCAAGACAACCCTCGAGGAAACCACTGCGCTCTTTTCCACCACGGAGGAACCATCAAGCACGGCTGCCCAGGCCACAACCACTCTTGAGACGACACCTAAAGCCTCCTCCAAGCAAACACAATTGTCTACTCTGGAGACAACCTCCACACTCCTCTCCTCAGGAGCAGAAACTAGCACAACAGCTGTTGAAACAACCATCGAAGTCACTTCCAGCACTGGTGGGTCACCCTCCCCTAATGTTGCCATCACCACAGCTGCGGTGGTAACAGCCTCTTACACCACGCTCCTTGCAGAAACACCCTCCTCTGCTCCTGGGACAAGTCCACCTCCTGCCACCACCTCGGCTCTGAAAATGAGCGCGGCTGTGGAGAACACCTCCTCCACTCTGACTACACCACCAACCACCTCCACTCTGTTGACAGCCTCCACTGCTACCGCTACAGGCAAGTCAACCCTCCGGACAACAACTGTGCCCTTCTCCACCACGGAGGAACCCTCCAGCACGGCTGCCCAGGCCACAACCCCTCTTGAGACGACACCTTCAGCCTCCTCCAAGCAAACACAATTGTCTACTCTGGAGACAAGTTCCAGAGTCCTCTCCTCAGGAGCAGAAACTAGCACACCAGCTGTTGAAACAACCACCGCAGTCACTTCCAGCACTGGTGGAACACCCATTCCTGCTGTTGCCATCACCAAATCTGCAGAGGTAACAGCCTCTTCCACAACGCTCCTTGCAGAAACAGCCTCCTCAGCTCCTGGGACAAGCCCACCTCCTGCCACCACCTCGGCTCTGAAAATGAGCTCGGCTGTGGAGAACACCTCCTTCACTCTGACCACACCACCACTCAAATCCACTCTCCTGACAGCCTCCACTGCTACCACTGAAGGCAAGTCAACTCTCAGAGCAACAACTGCGCTCTTCACCACCAAGGAGGAACCCTCCAGCACGGCTGCCCAGGCCACAACCCCTCTTCAGACGACACCTTCAGCCTCCTCCAAGCAAACACAATTGTCTACTCTGGAGACAACCTCCACACTCCTCTCCTCAGGAGCAGAAACTAGCACACCAGCTGTTGAAACAACCACCGCAGTCACGTCCAGCACTGGTGGAACACCCACTCCTTCTGTTCCCATCACCACAGCTACGGTGGTTACAGCCTCTTCCACAACGCATCTTGGAGAAACACCTTCCTCCGCTCCTGGTACAAGCCCAC